TGATCAATTTCTTGCTGATAAAACAGAGTATAATTGAATACCTCAACACAAATTACTTTCTTTTTTTTTTGAATTTTATGTGTGTTTTCTTCTTCATTGTTTACGCTCCATGAATCTTGATTTTTTTTTTCTCATTTCTTGATTTTTTATGTAATAAAAGCTAATTCCCCACATTTTTAGAAATCATGAGAAGTCTACAAAAAGTGTTAGTTTGGTTGAACTTCACATGTTCATCTCTTGGTATGTTTCTTCCTAATTCTACAGTGACATTTACCAGAAATTTGGCAGTATTGCATAAAACCGCGTTTTAGATCACAAAATTCAAAAGTCATGGTTGATTACTATAACTTTGTGTTAATGTCAAATGACGGTTATATAAACTGAGACGGAAGGAGTAGTATTTAAGAAACTGTTAAACAATTTACGCAGGTGGCGAGTTGGGGAGCGTACCTTTTGTCAAGGAATATCCTAGCTATATCATTTGCACCAAGAGATACACATGAAGCACAGGTTCAATTTGCTCTTGAGCGTGGTGTTCCTGCTTTGATTGGAGTTATTGCTTCGAAAAGACTCCCTTATCCGTCTAGAGCTTTTGACATGGCTCATTGCTCTCGTTGCCTTATTCCTTGGGGCGAATATGGTGCGTACTAATTCTGTTCGTTTTGATCATTAATAATAACATGACATTGTGATTCTATTGTAATTGATGTTTTGATGGATGGATCGTTCAGATGGCACGTACTTGATTGAAGTTGACAGAGTCCTAAGGCCTGGCGGATATTGGATTCTTTCAGGTCCACCGATTCATTGGAGGAAATACTGGAAAGGCTGGGAAAGAACGAAACAAGACCTAAATGCGGAACAAACAAAAATCGAGAAAGTGGCTAGGAGCTTGTGTTGGAAAAAGTTTGTTGAGAAGGATGACATTGCTATATGGCAGAAGCCATACAATCATTTACAATGCAAGGAATTGCGAAAGGCGTCCAAGAATCCACCAATGTGTCCTGCTCAAGATCCTGATAAAGCCTGGTTTGTCCCTTTTCAAATCATACAACGTTGTTTACAGGCTATAGTTTTATACTGACGAATCGAGTGGTCTTACTGATGTATGTATATTCAGGTATACAGATATTGAAACATGTTTAACTTCCTTGCCTGAAGTTTCGAGTGAAGAAAAGGTAGCTGGTGGACAGTTGGAAAAATGGCCTAAAAGATTACACGCGATACCACCAAGGATTAGCAGAGGAACTGTAAATGGGGTCACGTCTGACACCTTCAACGAGGACTCACAGCTATGGAAACGAAGAGTTTCGTACTACAAAACAGTGAATAATCAACTCGGGCAACCAGGGAGATACCGAAATCTATTAGACATGAATGCTTACTTAGGCGGTTTCGCTGCCAATTTGGTTGATGATCCTGTTTGGGTCATGAACATAGTTCCTCCTGAAGCTAAGGTTAACACACTTGGTATTATCTACGAACGAGGATTAATTGGAACATATCAAAGCTGGTAATTTCCCAATCCCAATCAAGTCAGGGTCGACTATATGACAAACATTAGTATATTTTTTCTTAATTTACCACAAACATTTGTTGCAGGTGTGAAGCTATGTCAACTTATCCAAGAACCTATGATCTTATTCATGCTGACTCTGTATTTACTCTGTATAAAGACAGGTTCTGTATTTACTCTGTATAATAGATATTGAATCTCCTTACTTATTTGGTATGTTATATTCTGATTCGTTCGTCGGTTGTGTGTGTATGTAATACAGATGTGAAATGGAGGATATATTACTTGAAATGGACAGAATATTGAGGCCAGAAGGAAGTGTAATAATAAGAGATGATGTAGATACATTGATCAAAGTAAAGAGGATAACAGATGGACTAAACTGGGATAGCCAAATAGTGGATCATGAAGATGGACCATTGGAGAGGGAAAAACTACTCTTTGCAGTAAAGTCCTATTGGACAGCTCCATCTATTCAAGAATCTTAGATATCTTTTAACATTTTCATCTTCATAAGATTCCTCTATCTTTTTACAATTGTGATATATTATTGTTAACCTCATATCATTCTTTAGCTACTTCTTAAATCACTTGATATTATTATTAATTTTCATAAAAACTTGTCCCAAGAATAGTTATGTAACTTGAATCCTGTTTTCTAGTGCTACACGAAGTCTGTATGTGTGGGGATGGGAAAATATTTAATTTTATAGTCCAAGATTGCTGACAACTTTTTAATTACACAGTTAAGCTGTTCCCTTGTTAATTAATTAGTGTAAGCAGCCCTGTTTGTACTACTTCATCTACGTTTATTAGAATTCATTTTTAGTCAAACTCCCTTCACCACATACTTTAACATCTTGCTTTAATTGATTAGTTAACTATAAACATTTTAGGATCTTTCTTTTGATTAATTTGATATAAACCACTGATGTTAAAATAGGACATGTTGCGTCTATGTCAGTTGTCACCCATATATTAAAATATGAAAACTCTCACCCAGTCAAAATGTTTAACTAAAACTTGATGTCAATTTTAGGAGGTCACCGATATAATTTTATGTCCCTATAACTTCAGACACTTGTTAATTCCATTAAAAATTAATACACTCTCTTTCTTCTAATAGTATGCACTTAGCTATGTCCCTATTATTACAGACATTTAAAAAACTCTTAAACTTATTACAGAACAATAAACAGTACACCAGAATCAAATACTCTAAACAAAGAGATTCATTCTTAAACAACACAAGCAATTCGTTATTGTCCATCGAATTTATGTTGTTACAATGTATAGTAACTCAAAGTTAAATTTTTATTATTTGTGATTAGTTAAATTTAACCATATTCACTGATTTATATATTATACTGCATCACTAGCTGTTTAATGTTTTTATAAGTGAATCTATCAAATAGTTAAAGTAATTTTTCCAACTTAATATGTAGCCCAATTCATAAGTAAAATACTTGAGAAAACCAAAATTGAAGATATTTAAAAGGATTTTTGTCTCGACAACTTTTTCTCTCCATGTACACTTGTATATTATTGCAAGCTATATGTATATCTATCTATACAATTGGCATACCATGATATATACTTACGTGCACAAAAAAAACACAAGATATGTACATACACACAATATACAGACTTGTTTATCCAGCTTTTTAAACTCCAACATCTTTAAATGGTTTAGGGAATTAACCACTCTCTCTTCGTCCCAATTTATCTGACGTACTTCGAATTTTGAGATTCAAACAAGTTTATCTTTGACTTGTAGATTTTTTATTTATTTTTTTAAATATTTTGGATAGTTAATTGATAATATTTTTTATATAATTTAAAAATATATAAATTTTATTTTAAAAAAATTAAAGATTTCTTGTACAAATTTTTGATCTTGACTCCGAAAAAGAATAAATTTAAAGTACTTCGAATGGAGTTTAAATTCTTGTAAAGGGCAGCATGTTTAAATGATAAGCTTGAATTCCGTTATGCAATTATTCAGTTAGAAAGCTCACAGAGACCGAGAGTGCTATAATTACTCTTAAGTACGGTAAAATGAGTTCATATTTTGGTAACTTTAAATTGTTCATATTTTAATAGGTTGGGTGAGTAACCTTTTATATAGATAAAATATGAGTGTATATCTATATTTGATCTATAAAAATATGGGTAAAATATGAATTAGCCAAATGAGTTAAGTTTCTAAGTTTTATTGATTCAAACTTCATGATATTACTAAAAATACTGTAATTTTTCTTGTTTTTGTTGTATTTTATGAAACTAGCTATTATTCTCTCTAACTGAAAAAGGTAAAGTCTTTGCCACTCCAAAAATATATAATTTAGATGTACATTTCTTTTCTTAATTATAATTACATTTTATTTGTTTATTTAATCTTATATTGAATTATCAATAATAGTGTAAAATAAGCAAATCATGTATTAGCATTTGCATTACTTAAAGGGCATTAAGCATGTTTTAGTCTCAAATTGCAACTATTCATTTACTTCTATTTTAAAAATATTTTCATCTTGTTATAAATTTATATTATATTGAAAAATATAGGATTTTTTTTATTTTTATGATACAATAAAAACTAAATGAAGCATGTTCAACATTTTCATCTAAAAAAAATGACTAAAATATCTTCTCCATATTGAATTCTTAAGTAAAGTATATTTATTCATGAAAATATGGGTAATATATGGATAAACTAATATTTTACCCGACCCATTTATTATCCAATCAATTTTTATCCATATCAAATATGGATAGGTTGAATGATTACCCTTTTTTTTTCATTTTCAATCCGCCCACATTTGACCCATCCCGCTCATTTGCCATCACTACTCTTAATTCAGAGAAGCCAGTAGTAATTTGTATAAATATGTATATTGAGCACCTTGTTTTAAAAGCAACTTCAAATTAGAAATAGTTAAGCGGAAAAATTCTAGATTCGCCTCACTAGTCGTTCTTACTTCCTAATTAATCCTTATGCATTCAGGGTAGCGACATATTGCAATTAGGGATCGTTTGATAGATTGTATAATAATAGGAGTGAATATGGTCTGTCGATAAGGCTAAGATTTAGTTATGTTGGGACTAGTAATATTGTGATTAGTTTTTATCCACTGTTTGGTTTGGTATATTGAGGACAAAATTCTGTCTTTAACCATGTACTAATAAGTAATAATATCTGTATTGCTAATATCATGATTTGTTATGTATTAGTTATACACCCTAAAATACGAAATATCCTATCAAATAAATGACTAACTATTTAATTATAATGTGAAAAAGAATTTGTAACCTGCAAAATAGGAGTGTTAATCTGTTATAAGTTGTATTTACATATATATATGTGGAGGCAGAGCTGACTGTTGTGTATGAAAACTCTGTATTAGGTTGTTCATGCATAATGTCCCTTGAATAATAATTATATTATAAATAGATTCACAACATATATACATTAACTCAGCTGATATATTGAAAGAAATAAATAACATGATGAAGTCCATTGTTTCCCTTGTGGTACTAGCAATTGTGCTTCTTCAAAGCCAAGTGATTCAATGTCAGGAGCAGATCACAACCTGCTCAGCATCACTGAACAACTTGAACATCTGCGCGCCGTTTGTGGTGCCAGGGACGATAACCAATCCAAACCCCAGTTTCGATTGTTGTTCTGCCCTCCAATTAGTAGACCGTGAGTGCATCTGCAACACTCTCCGCATCATCGCTCACCTTCCTTCTCAATGCAACCTTCCTCCCCTCTCTTGTTGGTAATGAACATATTCATTTCTTCAAATTTAAAAGGGAAAAGAGTCTGATAATACCGTCAACTTTGTCATTCAATGCTGATATACCTCTAGTTATAAAAGTGACTCATATATACATTTACTGTTATATAAACAACTTTGTCATTTAGTACTAATATACCTCTAGTTATAAAAGTGACTCATATATACATTTACTGTTATATAAACAACTTTGTCATTCAGTGTTAATATATCCCTAGTTATAAAAGTGACTCATATATACATTTACTGTCATATAAACAACTCACATTCTTAATTAGTATCATTCGCGTAGTGCTTACTGACTTTTATTTTTGCTGCAGAAAACTGAGCTGTATGTTGAATGCTGTCAATTATTCCTAGCTACATGAGCCATAGGAGAATAATATCCAGAGTTTCTAAGGCAATATACGTCGTCGCAAACCTTGCTTTATTTATTTTGTTTGTGTTGTTCTTTAGGGAAATATGCTATGGTCCTATGTGAACTGCAAGTTAACAATATATGATGTAATGTTGGTCAGTGAAGAGTCCTTTGTGTGTCATGTGATTTCAATAAGACAAAAATGTTCTTATTTTCAAACTAGACACTCTTGTGTTTGATATTTGGAGCTAGTTTCTAAATTTGTGGGGGGCAGAAAAGATTTGTCTTATAAATCTGATTCTATTTCACAAGAAAATTATGTCATGGCTTTTGATTTTATTTGTTGAAATTAAATCAAACATGATTTTACATATCATAGGTTTGTCATATAGAACAAAGAAAAGGATAATAAAAAAGGAATTTCCTTATTAGTAATTGGCAACAAATTCTGAGGACCAATTACGACCTTTTTAATTTGGTTTTAGCTAGTATCTATGTTCATTAATTTTGAGTGTGCATAAGTAAACATTTAAATTTATATAAAATAAAAATAAATAGACACACACGTCTTATATGACATAATACATGTAGGACGCCACATATGATATAAAATTAATATTTAAGATGTCACATAGGATCAATATGTCTATTTTTTATTCAATTTTATATATGTTGAAATGTCTACTAAAAAAACACATTTACGCTTTTGATACTTCTACTTGGGAAAAATATTACAATTGAACCCATCATCATTGTTCCATTGATCTTAGAAAAAAAAATTAAAATTATGATTAATAGAGGACAATTTAAAGCATCAACCCAACAAAGCTAGTCCAAGACCAGGTTACGAGAGTAGGGGCCAACATTGCCCTAATGGCCCATGGACCTGTGTTTGTTTTGTATATAAGAGGACGATCTCCAATATGTGAAGATCTTTTTCAATAAGTGACACAAATAATTTTAGTTGGTTAGCTATCTTAACTTTCGATGATGATTCGTCAGGGCCGGCTCTGTACTTTAAAAAAGGAAAACTTTCATATATAGTCACTAAAAAATAATTTAATTACTCTCCGTATCTATAGTTTGATAATTACAATTCATAACTACATGTTATAGGGAGGAGAAAGGCGAGCCAGACTTGGGATAGAGAGGAAAGAGGCGAGAGAGAGCAAGGAGTGGAGAGAGGTGAATTATATATGTATATTAGTTGGAGAGGGGTGAATTGTATACGTATATTGGTTAAATAATTGTATATTATACATGTGTATTTGTATAGGGAAAAATACTCAAATATGCTATCGAACTTTCAGAAAAGACTCATTTATGCCATTCGTTAAAAGTTTGACTCATCTATGCCATTACCGTTCAAGAAAAGACTCATTTATGCCATTATTTTTTAATAGTGATTTTGCAAAACCATTTTTGACACGTGATCAATTATAATTCGGCCACGTCATCAATTTTTAAAATAAAAAAAATGTAACTAATGGCATAAATGAGCCTTTTCTGGAAGTTCAATGGTATATTTATGTCTTTTTCCATTTGTATATATAGCAAGCGAAATTGAGAGAGAGAGAGAGAGAGAGGGGAGAGAGTCGAAAATTTGTTTCTTACATGGCTAAGGCCTCATTTGTTTGCACTTAATGGAGGTCTGAATCTTAATAATTCAGATTCAGCCTATTAACTACGTTTGATTTTTAAGTCTGAATCTGAATCATTCAGATTCAACTCATTAAGTTCATTTGTTTTATTTTTTAAAAAGTCTCTTAATGGGTCTGAAGAGGTATGGATGAATCAGATATGTAGGAGATTCATTCAGACTCATATAATAAGTTATCAAATAATATAGGGAAAATTGTATATAATAGCAAACTAATAACCTAAATTAAATGGAATAGCTAGGGTTTGATTTAATTGTGCTCCATAGCAAACGTTGGCAAAAAATTGCCAGGCGTCTCTCTCCCAGAAGTCTCGCTCGCCACTCTCTCATTCTCGCCT